ACTGTGTGTGACCTTGTTTCTCCCAGACAAAGTTGACTGGTGAAAAAACACACACACACATACACATATACATATTTATTTATATAAATATTGTAAGTCGACAGAGATACAGTTTTTCACTAGACACAGAATTGCAAGCAGGCTCTCATTTATTAGCGAAATGCAATCAGTCAAGTGAGTCTGAGTTCAGCAAGTGTAGCATTTGCATAAAGAATAGCAGCTGAAAGGTGGATTCTTCCGGTCTATCCAACATCTGCACAAGGTTGTGTGTGGGCGGTCACATAAATATGAAAAAGTAATGAACTTTTGTTTGTGCATGTGAGGGAGCAAGTAAATGTGAGTCACTCTAAATTATTTTTTTTTACCTTCTTACACTGAGAGTCTTCTATGACTGATAAGCAGCAAAGAAATTCAACTCAAGWTAATCTTTCATTGCAAAATGACTCCTCATTACCCAGAAAGTATATTGCTGCAGTGACCCTACATAGTCATTTACACAAGCTTAAATAATAATGTGAATTTTATTTTATTATGTTCTGCCTTCACTGTGTWATTCATACACCACAAAGGGAAAGAGAGGGAAAAAATGCTGAAGTAAAATAGACCATGACTGGTCTTGTCATTTGGTAACAAGTGGGTTTCATTTCAAACTCATCAGCAAGAACTCATCATCAAACAAATTGTCCAGAAATGACACTGCAACATTTACTGTTAGAAGCATATTTAGTTCTTACTCACTTTCCCTTTACYTATCCCAAGCATACATTTCTGCCCTACAAAGACAGTTCTTTTGTCAATGGATGATGTATCATCTTCCTCCAAATGTGTATGTGTGTGTGCCTGAGTACATGAGTGTCATAGCCTCAATGTCTCAGACTGAAACATGCTTGGTTTCTCTGTTCTGACAGTACTGGATCCTCTTTACATCATTTTTCTAGATGTAGTAATCACTACTATTTTGAATGGCTTTCACTGCGGACCCAATGACGGTGTTTGGTTCTCAGCAGAACACTTARGTGCCCTCCAGTTTACTCACAAACTCTCTTTATGAGTCATTACATTAGGTTAGAGTACACTGATACAAGACACGTAACTTTTGCCTCTGTTGTTACCTTTGTGGAATACTGTCTTGTAAAGTATTATTACATGATGAGTTGAATGAATGAGTTTTTATAAATACTCTTACTTCAACTTTTGCGTCATTGTGCAGACTGCCTTTGTTTAAATGTCAACTAAATGTTTGCATCAAAAGACATTGGATAGGTGGATACATAGGCTGAAGGCTTGACTCAGACGGAAGCATCGTCATCTTCCCACTTGTCTTGAATGAATTGAAAAAAAAATGGCACAATGAATCACACTCCACCTCCATAGCAGTTTAACTTGGAGTTAGTTTCCTACCATCATCAAGGGATGCATGATCAACTCCATTATTTACTCATGCTGTGCCACAGTGGTGGGAGTTTGCTTTATGTTTCACAGACCAAAGAGTTTTGAAACACAGACTTCATGGTGCAACTATCTGTCGCCCACAGCGTGTTTCAGTTTAGCAGCAGATGTGTGGAATCCTTACACTAGTAGTGGAATCTCCATGATCTCAGAAGCGTATTTAGCTTTATTTGTACAATTAACTCTTTACAAGTTTTTACTACTACGCATGGCCTAAATACTGCTGTACTAAACCACTACCCACTGTGGAGCGGTGACTAAAATGGATACTTTCTCTCTTGAATATTTCTGTTTTTAGTTGGCAAACCATACAAATGCAACTACTGCGGACGGAGTTACAAGCAGCGGACATCTCTGGAAGAACACAAAGAGCGTTGCCACAGTTATCTGCAGGGTATTGGCTTAGATCCTACAACCAACACTGGATCTTACACAGGTAAACGAGTGCACGATTAGTAATACAATGACAATCAAACCACGTTGCATGGATATGCTAGATGTGACTTTTTTATAACACATTTATATAT